CTCATATATCTTTGACACTGCCTCACGCAGTCATTACCAATTCAGAATTCTCCGCAATAGTTATTGATGTTTTTTTCCTAGCAAATAAGAGCTACACACTTATTTTGTTGTGCCCGTCTAGCATTTAGCTGAGAGCATTGCGTGCACTCATCAACACTACACAATCCGAAAATGGTACCCCGGCATTCATGTTTATCAGACCTTCGTTGTTAACCGGTGTTGTCCAATACCTTCCAAGGATGCCATTTCGAATTCATAAGTCGCAAGGGACAATACAAAGCAATCCTGATCAGGACTTCGTTCCCGCCATGAGATGGCGCCGTTTTGTATTCACTGTAAAGATATTAGCCTTCGAGCTGCGATTCGTTAGCCGAATTCACAGAGTTATACAGTGCCGCTTACCTTCCAACGCCTCTATCCTCATGACGTCTGTAAATTGTAGAGATCATGCTTCTTAATTGTTATCTAAAATTACTTTTTGAGTATCTTCGCACCAAATCTTGCCATTTTGATCTAATGGCAACGCTATCACTATCCACAGAACCAGCAAATAATACTAGCCAAGCTCTTCAGGGTAACTTATTCCATCTTGGCATTCGTCCGTCGTCGTGACGAATAGGTCGAAGTAGCCAAAACAGCTGACTTCATCGAGTTTCTCGTTTTCCAACTGAGGACACGTTTCTTGTGGTGTTACATCCTACAGATGAATTTATGAAAGGTGACGTCTGCGCTCTGTAAGGCATATTGCGTTTTCTTGAAGGCATTCAGTGGCAGGATGATTTAGACATCACCAAAATCTAAGGCTAGAACTTTTTTATATTACCGCCAAGATGGAGTGCTTGGATCAGAACCATATCTTATAACGTAAGCATGGAGAGAATCGGTGAGTGGACCCGGCCTCTTTAAATTTCCGTGGTGTCAGAAACTCGCTCTGTCATTCATCCGAACTTTCGTTTGCGTGACTTCATAATATGTCTTTATTCATCTCATGAATTTCTTAACACTGTCAGCCTTTATGATCTTCTGGATATTACTTTTGCCGACCGCATCAAACGCTGTAGTGAAATTAAGGTGACTTCACATCCAATTATAAAAGAATCAATGTCGCAATTCAACTCTTCGCAGTGTGAATATCTCTTCAATACATTATATCAGGCCGAAACCTGTCCCCATGTTTGCTTACGCCTACGTTCCAGAGGATACGAATTTTTTTCAGCAGGATACTCTCAAAGGTCGTG